CTTATTGGTACGTATTTCGCATCTCGCTAAAAAAGTGCACCCAGGTACATTTATGCCATGAGACCAGGTAGGCAAGGATCTATTAAATTGATTAAAAGTGACAATAAGGAAATTTGTTACAAAAGAATTCTATTCTATTCTAAGTGAATGTTGGGTAACACTTTACTTGAAGGGGTGTGCATAAGACTGACATGACACCTTCATAATCATGACATGACACATGTCATGAATATGAAGGAGGTTTTATGCATGTTTATGACAACTGTCATTAAGTGTCATTCGCTCAGTTATGTCATTTGTAATGCAAATATGACATTATTTGACCTTACCCCTAACCATAGCCCATAACAAAGACATCTAAAAAAACTGTCATCTTTGCATTAAAAATTGCATAACTGAGTGAATGACACTTAATGACAGTTGTCATAAACATGCATAAAAACCATTCATATTCATGACACGTGTCATGTCATGATTATGTAGGTGTCATGTCATGATTATGAAGGTGATATTTTTATTATTTGATAAAAATAAATGTTTCTTGAGAACCAGTGTATTATAATCAGTATTATTATCAGAATTTGTATCAGAATATTATCTGTGCTAAAAATTCAGCTTTGCCATCACAGGAATAAATGACATTTTACAATATATTAAAATAGCAAACAGGTATTTAAAATTGCAAGAATATTTCACAATATTACAGTTTATACCATTTTATCGACTTACGATCTTATCAGTAAAGAACATTTTATACTTTTAATTAACTTATTTTCATCAATTGCATGTGTTGAACTACATCTATAGGACACATTTTGGTATGATATGTAGATATGCATTGATATATGAACCACTTATAATTAATTTTTTGTTCTCAGCATCATATGACTGATGATGCCACAGCACAAAAAAAGAATAAAACACCTGGTCTGTTCTGCATATTCCTGTCTTCACCATGAACATAGAGCAACATCATTTAAAAACGACTTTACAGCTATGAGCTTACGACTATTAACACAGTAACATTTGCTTGTCTGGTAGTAAATGGATCATTACTAATGTGCTACTTATTAGCTCACCCCAAAAATAGTGCAGTGCTCACTCAGAGCGTATAATTATGGCGCAGCAGTGATATAGGATAGACTGATATTTGTGGAGGCAGCTAATGTTCAGCCTTCTGACTGAGCACCCGTCTGCTAAACCTAAACTAATGTGGCCTCAAAGTGCAAGGATAATTCTTATTTTAAAAACTTGCAAAAACAAAATGTTGTGTTTGTTTTTTCTTTCCTGCTTTTTGACATTTTATGAATGCTGTAACTTCTAGTTGTGTTTCATTCTGTAGTAACAAATGCATACAAGTTTGCACACAATTTATGTTACTTTTACATAATGCAGTATAGGGTCTATGTACTTCTGATAAAAAGCTGAGTTTTCAATGTTAATTGCAACTGATGTAAATGTAAAAAGTCCACATTGTCACATGAAAACAGGACATTATTCAGAACTGTCCTCACACACACAAAGAAAAACAAGTAGATAGAATAGAAAAAATTTAATAGAAAAGTATATTTTAAAAAAATTTAAATAAAAAAAGAAGATAACGTAGAATTAAAATAGAATAGAAAGTGCTAGAGTTAGATACAATATAGAGCATATATACCCATCATAAATAAGCAATTAAAATGAGTGAGATGTGTAATATGCCATTTCATTTTGAGTGAAGACAATTTAAAAAAAAAACTATTATACAGTTTCAATAGTTTGTGAAAAGGTTTTACATACTACTTTTTTTCCCACTTCCTAAGAATAATAGTAAAGTCAAAAATTTATGAAATTACAGAAATTGTGGTTTCAATTTGTAGTGACCAAAAATTAATCAAAAATCTAAGTTTAACTCTTAATAAAATAAATAATTTAAGTACAAAAAGTACAAAAATTGTCACTGTTGCTTATTTACTCTTAAAGGGTGTATATTAGTACCATAAAAGTACATATTATTACCTAAAGTGTACGTCAAAGACAGTGACTCTATTATAAGGATCACACAAAATAAGATTGTAATGTCTCTGTGCTGGGGCTCTTTCCTGGAATATGTTGCTATGGTTTAATATATCCTTATCATGCAACACAGACATATCTGCTTTCATGGACAAGAAACCAAACAAACAGACTGTCCTTCTCTATATGGTTACTTAGTGGTGAGTGCTTCCTCCATTTGGTGGGGAAATAGTCCATGGCCACTCAATTATCGACAAATATCCTGAAATGGATGGTGGAATTGACTTCTTAAAAAAGCAATTGATTTTTTGCACCACTGCTAGACAACACGAATTGAAAAACTTCAAGATGGATTACTTGACCCAAATAAAACCTAGTATACTATATAAAACCCTAAACAGACCAGATGTTCTCTAAAGACCGAAATTCTCTAGTGTTGGTACATGCATTGTTATTTCATATAAAAGTCACCCATTTAGTCAGATACTAGTCTGAAAATAAAAATATACTATAAACATAATTGGTAATTAACTGTACAAATTGGCATAAGCATTTTTTAAAAGAATGTGTTTATTCCACATTACAATGAGTGGTGTGTGCTATATTTACTGCTATATGTAAAAGGCCATATCTAAGTGTACATATGACATATAACATTCATTGATTGCTTGGCTGTGAAACTCCTATTCAAATGAGACTACCCTGTAAGTGTATGTGACTGTCGCTGAGAGCTGGAGGTCACTGAACTGAGCTGGCACAGGAAAGAGAGGATGAAGCTCTGTCTTTATGAGGCTGGCCAAGGTGATAAACAGGCCATGATATGAAGGGGAGGGTGGTTTGATAAACTGGACCATTCGTGTTATTGCACTGCTTGCAGAGCCCAGCCAAGGGCTTTGACATGAAAACGGCCATCAGTCTCACTCCATCTCTCCTTCAAATCGATATTCACCTTCATGAGGATTTATGACCGGGGTTGCAGCTTACTATAATAATAGTCAAACATGAAGACACACCAAGCTGCCTCTGCCAGTATGTTGTGTTGTGGTTTTGTTATTGGCAAGCAAAATGTCCAAGAATAAAGATACTGCATGCAGCTGACCTCCTCTAGCATCGCTTCATTAAAGGTAAGCATCATGTCCTGTTTCTGCAGCAACTATTTATGAAATAATAATATTTACACAATAATAATAAATAAGAGGTTAATATTGTGTAACTAACATTTGCTCATAAATTTAATTTACTCTATTTTTGCTACCAACATAAACATACTCAAAGTAAACTAGTGGTGTTTCTGAATGAATCAGTCGATTGTTTAGTTCATAAATGAGTCAGTGTTAGAATGAATTGGTTGGGCAAATAATTCAATCATTCATTTAGGAAGACAGTGTTTTATTTTTGAACAAATCGGTTGAGCAAATTATTCAATGACTCACTCACTAGGACAGTCAATTGATTTGTTCCTAAATTAATCAGCGTTTGACTGAACTGACATATTCAAAAAGACAGTTAGCCAGTTCATTTTTTTTAATTAATCAGTTTTTTTTTTTTTTAATGATTTGGTTAAAAGAACCGTCCAATAAACAAATAGTTTGAAAGAATGATTGAATGACTCACGTATAAAGACGATTGTTTCATTCCTAAATGAATCATTGTTTGCAAGAATAGTTTGAGCAAATGATTCAGTAATTCATTCATAATGACAGTTAAGTGTATTATTTTTGAATGAAGCAGTGTTATTGAACAAATCTGTTGACTGAACAATTCAGTTTGTTTTGTTCCTGAATGAATCAGTGTTTGAGCAAATACATTTATTGTATTTAGTGGCGCCACCCCATAACAATGTAACCTGCAGAAAGAGTCACTGAAAAATCCCCCACTAATACACAGACTCATAGTCTGTCAGTATTTTTCAATACAACTATTGAATAAAGTCATTTCCCATTATCTCACCGAGCTTACCCTTTTCACCACATTAGGAATAGTTAACCCAAAATTGAGTTCAAGAGGATGATAACATTTGTGAATTTGAATATTGCATACTGAAATTAGTCTCACAATATTTGAGAGTAACATCATACTGATAGTTTTTATTTATTTTTATTTTTTTGCATTTTAGGAGCTTGACATTTGTCTTTAATGAAAAAATTGGAAGAATTTATAGAGGTTTGGCACAATGATAGAATTTCTTTTTTGGGTGAACTATTCCTTTAAAATCATGACAGTAATGCAGCAAACCCATTGAATAATGTGCCAATTAGGGATGCACCGAAATTTCGGCCACCGAAAATGGCATTTTCGTTTTTTGGCCAAAAGAGAAAAAATGGCCAAGAATATGAGCAGAAAATATATGGCACGCCGCACTGCCCAGCAGTGTTCAGCGCGCAGGTTTCGTCAATATTCCACTCTATGAATGTGCGTTCCACTGAGTTGCTCACGGCCCATGTGAACGCTCCACTCGTGTACCACTCATGCTCACCAGAAAAGCAAAGTCCGCTCAAATAACACGCTGACAGGAAATTTCTATGTAGTATGCTTGTTCCTGTTTGTAGTGCTAGTGTACTGTAACATTGTGTAGTACAGCTGTGCTGGGCAACGCTGGTACAATGACGCTACCCTCTCGTGACGCTATGCTCTGCTCACGTGCACTGATAATAATAGCTTTGTAGGACTATACATAATTTGGATAATCTAGGGCTGCACGATTATGGCAAAAATCATAATTGTTGATTATTCCTTTGAAATTGTAATTGCGATTATTAATTACGATTATCACAATTTACATTGAATGATATTTATACCATTGTTTGAAGCAACCGCATGCCATATTTTTTAGATGAAAACACTCTAACTACCTTTTATTGCTTTTCTATAGTATTAACATTGGATTGGTTTCTTCTTTAAATAAAAAAAGTAAAAATATGCATGGTTTATCTTTCATGGTATTATTCTTAAGCGCGCAGAATAACATAAGTGGACTTTGAATGATTAATTGTCGCTTTGAAAGATTACTTGTGCAGTCCTAGTTGAATCTGATTCTGTTGCACTGAACTGAATAAAAATAATATATTGATATTCAATATTAATATATTTTCTGTCCAATTTTATTATTTTACTTTCAATAAAAGTGTGGTTATTTTATTGGCTTGTATTTTTTAAATTCAATATCATTAAAATGATTGAGTTAAATTAAAAAGTCTTACAAAATTATTTTATATTATTTAATAAAATAATAAATAATTATTAAAAAGCATTTTCGGTTTCGGTTTTCAGCCAAGTGCATCCAGAATTTTCGGTTTCGGCACAGAATTTTCATTTTGGTGCATCCCTAGTGTCAATCAACCCTCAATTTGAAAACCTGAGGTTATATTTCTACAAAGAAGTATAAAGTCTTTTTCCATTTAAACTCATTGATCATGCAAATATCGCCTTCACAGTGTGATAACTTCCGCTTAGTGTCTACTCCATCTATCTAGCTGAAATGATAGTACTAATCTGCTTGATACACAGGAGTTAAATGTGAATACGTTTATAAGGGGATGTTTGCATGCCAAAGGTAAATTGTGAAAGTCTTTAATCTTAGCGTAAAACATTGACATTGTCAAACCAGTGATTATTTCTCACTGCTTCCAAAAATAAAAAAGTACTCTTTTTGAGGATAAACAGCTCACACTGAGTGCAGGGATGAATCAAATCGAGTCAAGAGTTTCAAACTAGGTCAGAGAGCACACAAGGATTAAGCAAAACCAGAAGAAAGAACAGTAGGGGGAACTGTGGGACCTGGATGAAAGTCCACGTGCCATCCCTGGTCAGGCAGTGGCAATGCTCCTGTTATGCAGAGAAGCCAAAATAGCTACTTTACATCATTTCCACCTTGGTACAAGCTTGTCTCGTACTCCAGGCATGCACCAGTGCTGTCCCTGAGAGACGATGACCTTGCCAACACATGTCGAATTGCAGCTCTTGTCCTTTGGCAAAACCTTGTTTCCATTTCCCCAGAAACACTCACTACGCTGAGGGGAAGATAAAACGTTGTCTCCCTGCAGTGTTCCGATTGGACAACCCGAGGCTACCACCTGGCTCACCGTACTGATAGAAACTCTGCCCGGTAAGCATGTTTTGGTGTGTACACTATATAAAGGCGCATAAATAATATGCCATTTAAATGATTCAGACTGATCTATTAAATGTGAAGACATCAACAGTGTGCTCATTATAAAATGACAACAAAAACGGACTCTCTCTGGGATCCTGTCCTAGAGAAAACAAAATTGAATAAATAAATAACCAAAATAAATAAATAAGCATAAATTGAAAAATGGAAAAGCTATGTACAACGATAGAACAAAGAGTTGTTTGTGACTGCCAGGAGAATTTCCATAGCATATGCAAATACATAAGAAGCTGCATATGAAATGTAATCATTAATAATGGCTGGGACGAACAGTTGAGAGTTACTAACGGCAAGTGACAAGTGAAGTTCCAAAGTAGTTGAGGAGATAAGCATTCCCAGTGTCTGAATTCTTTATCATAATTTGGTGACAGCTTGTTTTTTTTATTATTATTATTATCAAAAGCACAGCCTGGCAGTGAGCAAAAACTCACTTTGTATTTGTTCAGCAACTACTCTCTATTTTTGGCTTCAAGACTTCAAAGATTATCTTTAAATGAGGCTAAAACTGTATCCTTATCTTATTTTGAGCCAGATGCTTCACTAAATGCAATTTCAGCCTGCTAGTTAAATCAAAGGTTTATATTATAATAACATACAAAAACATTACACATTTCAGATAAAGAATATATTACAACAGTAAGGATTTTTATCTACCTGCCAATAAAGTTGAGACAGTAGTTAGGACTTCTTGCCGTCAAATCAAAACAAAACAAAAAAATTTTTTAGGAAAGGAAAGATTTAGTGGTAATTTAAATTTATAATCATTTATTTACATTTATAATTTCTAATCTTAAATGTATATTTTTTACATTTATTAGTTTAGTTAATATGTTTAAACTTTATTA